ACATGCATGTTAAGTTAGGCCAGATCATTGAAGTCTTGAGTACTGGACACCTGGGCTTTGTTCAGGCAGCAGTGGAGAACCACAGAAGACTCCAAGAGGCCACAGGCAGTGAGCTAATACCCTCATAGCAGCTGGGTGGGCCTGGTACATGCTTAGCGCTCTGTCAGTTGTTGTCAGTGATTGTATTGCTGAGCCAGAGGTCACACCAGTGAGGTTTGAGGAACTTATGAGTGACCCTGAGGTACGGGCAGACTGGACATCCACAAGGTCACAGCATTAGCCTCCTATGTCTGGAAGTGCCCTTGAGGGCTCCAGCCCAGGACCTAGAACTTAGTTGGAGATTGCTAAGTCCTTGTGAGTTCTGGTACAACAAGGATGAGCAGGGGCCAGCAGAGGCTAGAAGCTTCCTGGGGGCAGGGAAGCCACAGGGGTTGCTGGGTGGTGAAGAGAGAGGATGCTAGGACTTAGAGAAGAGAGGAGGGTCACAGGTGATCTCAGGGTGACCTGGGTGTTTAGGGGTGGGTCCCAGCTGGTAGCTGAGGAAGGAAGAGGCTGGGAAATCAAAAAATGAGAGAGTCTGGACTGAATCACTAGGGGTCATTGATCCTGGGGAGTGATGCAGGTAAGGACACAGAGTTTGGAGGGAAGAACTGTTTTTGTTTTGTTTTGTGACAGGGCTGGCCTTGAACTTGCTATATAGCCAAGGATGATCTTGAACTTCTGATTCTCTGATCTCCACCTCTTGAGTGATGGGATTACAGGTGTCATGCACCATCATACCCAGTTTATACAGTGCTGAAGATCGAACTCAGAGCTTTGTACAAGCTAGGCAGGTACTCTACCACCTCAACCAAATCCCTAGACTCCATGGAGGGGGAGCTTCAAGAGTTCCTGCTGTGAAAGAGGAGGGGAAGGTGTGCTAGCCTTGGGGACAGGTCAGATTGTCCTACTGCTGGGATGCCTAAGGCTGTGAGTGGATGAGAGAATTCAGGGGTTCTACCATTCCAGAGTGTATGCTTGGGGGATGAAGTTCCTATGGCCACGGGGCCCTTGTGGATGTGAGTAGGGGTGACCTCCTTGGCAGGAAAGCCGCTTCAGGGCTGGGGCTGGTGGGTCAGGGGCTTGGCTTGGCCTGAGCTGTGGGAAGCTGCTCCTGGGCGTGAGGCCCGTCCTGTGACCCACCAAACCTCAGCCTCCAGGAAAGAGGCTAAAAATAATACTGTGGTAAAGAAGGGAGGGGGTGTGTGCCTGAACCAGCCTGGAGCCCAGAGGAAAATGTGAGGCTGTCGTGAACCACTGTGACACATGCTTCCCGTGCCAGTGGCTGGCAGGATCTTGCCCTCCTGTCTGTCTAGCTCCCTCCAGGCCCAGAAGAGGGGAAATGGCCCAGAAAGGTTCAGAGGGACCTGACCTATTTCCCCTGAAGCCCCTGTTTCCTGGGAAGGTTCTTTCTGACCTTCTGCCTAGAGCTCAAGCCTTGTACCCACAGTAGTGGTAGAGGGGCTCCAAAGCTTTCTGTGTCCTGGGTTCTAGACTTCTTAGGAGTTCCCAGGGATTATGGATGCCCACCTGCATGTGGAGAAATGGAAGAAGTCAAGGGAGGCTTCATTGAGGCAAATGATAAGCTGTAAAACCATTGGATGAGGGAGTGACCAGTGTGAATACTGTGCAGGTTTTGATAGAACTTCTTTTCCTGAAAGTGGGCTCTGTTTATGCCCTTCCTTTCACTGTGGACAGTCCCAGGGCAGAGGGGAAGTTTTTACATTCCTGCCCACTCTTTGCTACCCATCTTTTAGTCTACCCAGCACTGAAACTGTGACTGTCCCTATTGGTTCTAGAAATGACTCTTCATGGCCTGTGCCATGGCAGATGGCTACCCTTCCATCTATACATCTACCCACACTCAGTCCCTGGGGGCCAGCCCTGTGCTAGACCCTTCACTAGGGGACAGGCATGAAGCAGGAAGAAGCTGGGTAAGGCTGGGTGGCACAAGAGCCTCTTTGTTTCTTGACCACAGACCTGGTGGCTATTGTGAAATCTGTATTTGGTCTTCCTCCTGTCTCCTCACAGAGACCCTAAAGTTCTTGGAATCTTCAAAATGATCAGCATTTTTGGTATGCTATTGAGTTGACTGATGGCCCCAGGGAGCCCCAGGATGGGCTGGTCACAGAACACCCAGGCAGGTTTGGAGGGATGGGATGTTCAGCCCCATCCCCAGCTCCCAGCACAGAAGAAGCTAAGTTGATCATCATTAGCCAAGGGTTTAATGAGTCATGCCTGTAATGAGGACTCCAGAAAACACTAAAGGACAGAGCTTGGGGGGCCTTTGGAGAGAGGGATCCAGGGAGGTTCCTACAGGGTGCCAGTTCAGGAGGTGAGGCGGTCCTGGCTCCTTTCCGCATGTTTCATCACACACACTACTTCATCTCTGCTTCCATAATCTCCTTTGTCACAAACCCATGAATGTGTGGGTTCTCCTAAATCCTGTGAGCTATGCTAGCAATTGAATTGAACCTAAGGAGGGGATTGTGGAAACTCCACAGCCTGGGGCTTGTGATGGGCCCCTTCAGTGGGGAATTGTCTCTAAATAGAGTCCTTACCCTGTAGGGTCTGATTCCTCCTTAAATGGACAGTGTTGGCATTGAAGTGATTGACACCTCACTGGTGACTGCTGCAGACTCCCTGGTTTATGTGTTATTCGGGGACCTCTTGCCCTGATATTTCCTCATAGATGCTGTCTGTGTTATGAAGGCATAGACAAATTATATTTTTCTTCAATATTTTCAGACCTGGTTTAAAGTCCATGTTCAAAGTCTTGTGTGCTATGTGACAGTGGCTTCCTTTCCTTCAACCTTAGTTTCTTTACATGCAGAATGAAGGCAGAAACTCAAATGCCAGTCAAGTGGCAAGTTTGGACATACCACAAGAGCCTCTTGGTATCAGAATTTACCAGGAAGCAATTACTAGTGACTATAGTTCCCAGTGGGTCCAAGGGATTCCCAGGACTGACCCTGTGTGTGTTCCCCTTTGAACCAACTCACCCTGACTCATCCTTGGGACAAATGCTAACTAACATCAGGATGGACTAAGGAGCATCCTGGCTCCTAATTGATTGGCAGGAGGGGAGAAATTAGGGAAGACTTTTTGGAAGAGGAAGTATTACAGCCAATCTTGAAGGAGCGGCAGGGATCAGCAGAGTGAGTCAAAGGCCAGGATAGGAGGGGAGGTGTTTGGAGTTGGGGAGCAGGCATGGGTAGTTTGGGAGGTGGGGGTGTCATCTGAGAAGTGAGACTGGAAGGCAGGTTGGTAATACTGTGGACCTGTCATCTGTAGCCTTGGGGAAGGTTTTGGTACTGAGGAACCACAGGTGACAGTTACTATGAGAGAGAGGGATGTGGACACAGGGGCTCATGAGAGGAAATGGTCTGTGGAGCTGGGAGGTGAGTGTGAATAACTTACCAGGTCGGGCCAATTGATGCTACTTTTGGGCCTCTGAGGCTAGCCAGAACACTTTGGGTCTCACATGGTAGCATGCCATCTGCAGGTCCAGTCCCTGCCATCCAACTCTGTGGTAAAGGCATTGTCCTCCCTACTAGGCCTTGGTTATTAAGTCATTAGCTGGGCCTCTCACCACCTCTTCATTAGGGTAATTATGGCAAATTCATTCAGGGCATTAGTCGGGGGGCTGCTTTCTCCCAGCTGTCAGGCTGCCAACCATCATCCAGGCCTGACCCTGCAGCCCCAGAGATCCCTCAGACTCCAAGCATGGTCTTGAGAGGGACAGTGACATTTGGTGTCTCTGCCCCAGCTGCCAGACTGGACTCAGACACAGTGCTGAATAATCCTATCTCCTCCTTCCCTGTTGGTGACTTTGAGTGCACAGCACAGTTAAACTCTGCCTTAGTTTCCTCACCTGTCCAGTGGGATAGTAGTGCCGTCATCACAGTGCTGTTACTGTCATCCTCAAGAAGAGCTCTGGGGTCCCTAAGGGCCTCTGGCCTCTGTGCAGGCAGCTCTTGAAGGCAGGGCATCATCTCTTTGTCTTCTACCACTTCTCTGAGCAGCAGTCCTGTGATCCTGCTGTTCACAGAAATAAGTTGAGGTGGGGCCCAGGAACAGGGTGACCTGGGGTGTGTGCTTACTCAGCAGCCCTAGCTGAGAGCTCCAGGAAGATTCTAGGGTTCTGTGACTCCCACGTAGCCATGGCTTGGCCTGTCTTTTGACAGTGATGGCTTGTAAGTTTTCTGTTGTCGACCTTGATGGGCAGAGCTCTACTGGAGACAGAGAACTAGCATGGTCTCAAGGGCCCCCTTCTCCAGGAAAGCAGCATGGAGCCTCACCCACTTCCCTTAGGCCTGCCTCCTGTACCTGGAAATGGGAGTCCTGGTGATAGTATGGAGGACAGCTGGCATGAATGTGCATGGAGTGTGTGTCTGTGCATATGGGTGCATTCGTGTGTGTGTATGTGTGTGTGTGTGTGTGTGTGTGTGTGTGCACGTGCACACATATACTTGCACATGGGGAGTCTGTGTAAGTATTGCCTCAAGCTACCCTGTCCTTGTCCCTAGCCATTAAGCATCCCCATAGCTGGCTGTGGCTGCACTCTGCTCCCTGACTGGGGGCTTTGTGAGTCTTGGAGGGCAGTGCCCAGGTTTATGGATCAGGTCACAGTCTCCCATCCACGGTTGGGCCACAGGCAGGTCATGCTGGCAGGTAGGAGCATGACTGAGTGACCACACAGGAACCTTGCCTGGCTCCATACTGTTGTCCCTTGCAGTGGCTGATGGGTGAATGCTGTCCTAGGCTGAGTGGGGTGGGGGCAGGAGGGATGCCTGACCCTCATGCTTCTAGGTGGTTCAGCTAGGCTAGGCAAAGTGGAGGTCACAGCAGGGCAGGAATGGTGGGGATGGGCCAGGCTGGGCTCGTACTGGGGCAGTTGGTGGGTAATGGGGCACTCAGACATTGGACTTCACAGTAAGCATGCTCTGTCTCCCTTCTAGGTGTTCTTCTGGACATCCAGCAACACTTTGGGGTCAAGGACCGGGGCGCTGGCTTGTTGCAGTCAGGTGAGGCCTGCTCCTATCTTACCACATGCTCAGGGGCCAGCAGCTCTGCTCCTGCTTGGCCTTCATTCTCCTTGGTCACTTCTCCTGTCCTGACATCAGAATGAGCATGGGCATTGCATCTGGATCCTGCTATCACCACTTACAATTGGCCCTGTTTTTCTGAGCCTCGGCTTCTTTTCTTATAAAATAAAATACACGCACCTGTCCCAGAGAGGCATGGGAGACAACCTAGAGTACAGGACCTAAGCCAGTAAGGTTACCCTTCTTTTGGTTCCCAGGTCCTAATCAAGACCCTGTGTCCCAGTCCAGCTGGTGAAGGGAGCCGGTGAGCCTGGTGATGCTAGCCCACCCTCAGTGACTTGTTTCTGTCACCTGCCCCTCCCTTAACTCCTTCCATTATGATCCACTTAGAAACCACCTCTTTGAAAAAATTATTTAGAGGGCTGGAGAGATATCTCAGTGGTTAAGAACACTGACTGTTCTTGCAGAAGACCTGGGTTCGAATCCCAGCACCCACATGGCAGCTAACAACTGTAACTCTAGTTCCAGGGGATCCAACAGCCTCTTCTGTCCTCTGTGGGCATTGCACTACACAGGTGTACTTATCTACGTGCAGGCAGTACACACATACACATAAGATAAAATAAATAATAAATAAAATATTAAAAAACAGAAAAATTATTTTAGACAGGGTCTTACTATGCAGCCCTAGTTGGCCTGGAACTCACTATGTAGACCAAGTTGGCGTCAAACTCATAGATTCACCTGCTTCTGCCTCCTGAGTACTGGGATTAAAGACATGTGCTACCATGTTTGACCCAGGAATCACCTCTTGGATGACAAGGGATGTCACCACTCATTAGCCCTTGAGGGAGTCTGGTGTCCTGGATCCTGAGGGTCCCTTACCCTTCCCTGTGGTCTCAGCCTTTCCAAAGACCACCAAGGCAGGGCCTGAGCTCCACTGGGCTGCAGCAAGCAGAGCAAGGCCCACATGGGAAACCACTGAGCAGCTGTCCTAGCTCTTCTTCTGGGGAGAGACCATGTCTCCCTTTTCCTTCTCCTGCCCCTCAGGACCCCATGGGATTTATACTCCTGTATTCTGGGCCTCCCCATTGGCTTTGGCCATACCATCCTGACCTAAACTGGCTTTTGAGGGCTTGCTAGAGGCTCACTTCAGTGCAGGATCCCAGGGTGTCTGATCCTGACTGGGCCCTGACCTTGCCGTGTGACTCCAGCCTCACACCTGCCTGTCTTTGGGTCCTTGGTCCTGGAGTTCATCTGGCTGTGAGCCCCAGTCAGGCTGGTGTGTACATTCCAGTCCACGAACCCTTCCTCAACCTGGTTGTCTTGGGAGGGTAGGGTGGAGGGAACAATTCTATCTTGGAACTTGCTTGACCTGTTTAGGAGGTGGCATTTCATATGTACAATGGCTCCCAGAGCTCACAGAATGCCACAGCACACAGCATGCAGCCTAGTCCCCTGTCCCTGGGCACAGATCCTTGGTAGGGTCTTGGGGCTTAGAGACAGGCCATGTGCTGGCTCTAGGACTCCTTCACAAGTGACACTGAGCTGAGAAGGGGCAAAGCTGTGTGGTTCTATGTCCCCACAGTGGCCAAATTTCTACCCTGGCAACTGTTTCCTCTGGCTAGGCCATGAGTCCAGGCCCTTCCTTCCCCTTCCTGGCCTCCCTGGCTGGGCTGCCTTGCAGGTCCTTCTAGGTACTGGGCTCCATGCACAGTGATCATGCAAAGGAAGGGGTCCTAGTCAGTGGCTGTATGGGAGAAAGTGGACTACACAGCTGATCTAGCCCTCAGCCCCTACTCTACATGGCCCCTGATTCCGTGGGGGACCTGGCTGAGCCTTATCCCTCTGGTTCCAGCCTTGCTGGTTGATCTGGAGGAAGGCCACACCCCCAGCTTCCTCCATCAACTACCCTGAGCATGGTTAGGCCACATTGCCTCCCAGAGAGATGGGGTGGGGGGACATAAGCCCCAAGGAATGTGGGAGGGTCAGGTCCTGGTTCCTTCTACAGGATGTCCCAGGCTGAATTACTAGTTCACGAGAGGCACAAGGTCCTTACTGACCTCCTGTGACTTGGCTGGAAGTAGACAGGTCCCCCACAGGTATGATTTCCTTTGATTCTTACAGAACCCTATAGGCCCCCTTGCCAGTTTTACTTGCCAGAGGAGGAGGTGGATCGAGGGAGGGAAGTGGCATGCTGAGGTCTTTTGGAAGAGGGACTCTGTCTCTGTGTGCTGCTGCCCTCTTGGCTTACAGGGTCTGAGCATCTGGCATCTCAGTGTCCCCATGGTGGGTGCCTCTGAGCCCAGATGAGAAATCCTAGCTTTCTCAGTCTTGTGAGTCCTTTCCCCCAGGCCTTGACCCTATTGTCTACTGGGATGGCTCCACAGTGTCCTCACCCCTTTGGCCATTTAAGCTAAGAAGCCAAGCAAGCTAGACCAGGATGTGACTCAGTGGGCACCAGGGCAAGGCACCTAATTGGCCTATGCCCCAGGCACCTGTCTCTTCCCCAAGCCTGATAAGGTCGGAGTTGTTGGAGGGCGCCAGCCAGGTGTTGCTGCTTGCCCAGATCAAAGCACCAGGGCTGAGAGCAGCAGCTGGCTTACTTGTGGGCTCCAGGGGCTTTGGGGCTAGGAGGCAGGTAAAGAGACAGGTTTGACTTGGACCTGCCCTTGCTGTTGCCCCCTGAGAATCAGCCTCTGTGGCAGCCCATAGTAGAACTCTAGCACTTGGATTTTTGCCATTTGGGGAGGGCTATGGCCCACATAGAAAGGGGCAGTAGCTACTCAACCTCCTGCTTGTCAGGCCCTGTGCTGGGCACTGCCCATTCTCAGGTAGATTACCTCTGCCAATGGCAGTAGAAAATGTCATTCCATCACCATGCAGGCCCAGGGAAGTATGGAAGCCTGGGTAGATGGCAGAGTGTACACTTAGCTCTGTTAGAAGCGGGGGGAAAGCGCCACTGAGGAGGGAGCATTTCCATGGGGCTTTGAAGCATGTGTTAGATAAGTTCATTTGGGGTAAGGACATCTCGTCAGTTTGTCAAATTAAGTAGATGTCAGCACCCATCTCCCCTAGTTCTCCAAGCTAGAAGATATATGCCGAGAAAATATATTTAAATTACATAGCTGCACTTGAAAGCTAAAGCTAACAGGGAATTCCCAGGTGCCAGAAGCAAAGAGCTAAAGTCAAAAGCTGGACTGGGAACTGGAAGTGAAGTCAGGTGATTCAGAGTACTGGGACACTTGGTGCAGTGTTTGCAATAAGAACGTGTTCACAAAATTTTAAACATTGCCGGCATGGTTGCACACGCCTTTAATCCCAGCACTTGGGAGGCAGAGGCAGGCGGAACTTTGTGAGTTCGAGGCCAGCCTGGTCTACATAGTGAGTTCCAGGATAGCTGGGGCTACAGGGAGACCCTGTCTCAAAAAGACCAAAAAAACAAACAAAAAAATTTTAAGCATACACAAAAGTAGAATAGTACAGCATGCTTCTGTAAGCTCAGCACTGGGCAGCGTATCCTACGTCTTCTTTCAGGCTCAGGTGGCACCCAGAGCCCAGGCCAGTGCTGACTCAGTTTCCCCCCTTGAACCCAGGCAAGCTCCCTGATCCCACGCTTATCCAGGCTGACAGGCAGCTCTGTTGGTAAAGCTTCAGCTTCCAGACAGATGGTTCCCGCCTGCCTCTGGCTTTCTGCAGTCTGGTGAGGCTCCCGTAGGCCTGGTACTCACTCCTTTTTCCATAGAGGCATCTGTTTTCAGAGACCCCAGCAGAAGCGAATCCAAACTGGTCCTCAGGGAAGCCTTCATGATCTAGAGCCTACATGGACATGGGTGGCAGTTCTCCTTGAAGACAAATTCACATTCAAAATTAATAGCTGGACAGGGGATGTAGCACAGTGGTAGAGTGCTTACCTAGTATGTGCAAGGCCCTGAGTTCCATCCTAAGCACCAGGAAAAAAAAATAAAAAGTCACAAAAACTCATCTTTGTGAGAAGCAGGCAGCTGGCCCTTGAAACAACCTGGACTATAGAGAATAGCCTCATTTTTTAAAGTTTAATTTTTTTTTGTCTTTTTGTGACAGGGTCTCCCTGTAGCCCCAGCTGGCCTGGCACTCACCATGTAGACCAGGCTGGCCTCAACTCACAGAGATCCACCTGCCCCTGGCTTCCAAGTGCTGGGATTAAAGGCACGTGCCATCATGCCTGGCAGAATGGCCTCATTTTAAAAAAGGATTTCAAAATTAGGTATACTTTGCCAGATGTGGGTGCTCACACCTGAAATCCTAGCATTCAAGAGGGTGAGGCAGGAGGATTGCTATGACCTGGGGCTAGCCTGGGCTACAGAATGAATTCCAGGATAGCCTGAGCTATAGAGTGATACCCTGTCTCAAAGAATTAAAGAAATTAGGAATGCTTAGTTTGAAAGCTCAAAGGAAGGCATTTATTTATTTATTTATTTATTTATTTATTTATTTATTT